TAATATTCATATCTTCGATATTCAGTGAAGTTGAGCATATTCTAACATTTTTAAAGGTATTTGCATTTACTTTCTTCTTCAAATTTACATAATCTTTGCTGGTTTATGTGTATTTTTGTATAGGTATATTTACATTATATTAAATCTATATTATCAATTTAATCTGCATTTTCACGTTGTACAATTCTTATTCACTTGGTTTTTCTTGTGTGAGAAAGGTAAATCAAAGGAACAGGTTAAAGACTAGAAATAGAAGCATATGAGGATTTAGCAAACAGCTAAATGTGACATTTCATTTCAATAGGGAAAAGATGGATTTTATTTTTCTTAAAGTACTTAGAATGACTGCTAGCCATTGGGAATAAATAAGCTGCATCCAAACATCGTTCTTTTTACTAAAAAATGTTTTTGAGAGATGAAAAGCAGAAAATATAAAAATTAATCTCATAGAAACTAGAAAGAGTATATTTATTCACTAAATATGAAAAATAAATACCCCCAAAAAAAGTACAAAGGAGAGTACAGTTAATTACACATATCAAAAGTATTCAATGTCAGTAAAAACAAAAATGTTAAAAAAGAACAAGTGTACAAGAATAATGAACAACCATATACCAGAGACATTTTGTGGGGGTGGAGAGGGGAATGGGATCAAAAACGGGGGGGGGGGGGGGGGAGGGAAGTGCACGGGATTATGGTGATGGCACACGGGTGACTTGGTGATAGGAAATCCGCGAGGATTACAGTTGAGATGGAAAAAAATGTACAAAATGATGTAAAAATAAACTGCTATCAAAAAAAAATAAGTAAAAAAAAAAAAGTTATTTGTACATAGCCCAGAGGATTTACATCTCTCTCTTGCTCTGTATTTCACAAAGAAGAAATATAATGACCAAATAGAACTTATTTTTAATTTCTGATTCAAAATAAATAGACTTAAGATTAATTCATTCGTAGAGAAAGGACTCATAAATGGAACAAGATCATATTTTATTAGTGATAGTCTTTCTACATTTTGTATTGTTTATACTATATCATAGATAATTAGTGGGTTTTTGCATACTATTTTATTTATTTGCTTATTTATTTTTTATGATATATTTTTTATTGAACTACCATTATTTTACATACTTCTTCACTTTTAAACTATAGGATTTCTCCCTTGAGATTTGGCCACCATAGTTTTCCCATCACCAAAGCACCCATATCAATTATTGAGGCATAATGATATATAATACTACATTACTTTCAGGTGAAACCATAATGAAGCAATATTTCTGTATTGCAGTGTGGTGTAAGTCAGGCTAACATTTGTCCCCAGTTTTTCTTCTTGTGATAAAGACTTCCATTAGAGCCTCAGAATTTTTTTTATTTTATAAATATATTTTTTACATTATTCTTCAATTTGTACACTTTTTTTGTCTCAGTTGTAATTATAGAGCCTCAGACTTTTTGACCACTAAAAATAATTTTCAGAAATAATAGCCATAGATGTGCAATATTTATTCTTTTTAAAAAGATTTATTTATTTATGCATACAGAACTGCGGTATAGGCCAGAGTTTCAGGGGGAATGAGAGGATTCATCAGAGATAGACTGGGGAACGGAACAGGGGGATTGATGAAGTAAACTGCTGAAGGGAGCAGCGGGTCAGACAGGAGAGGTCTGCTGCACCAGGTGGGTCATCTCTCTGGCCACGGATTGAACTGGTGCAGAAGCAGCTTTGGGTACCCCTGAAGTACTGCGCTCTAACCTGTTGAGCCACCAGAGAGGGCCCGCACTATTTATTCTTATTGTTGTGGCAGTAATGCATGTATAATGCCTAATATGGTTTCTGGTGTGGCTTAGGTGTTCTGAGGAATTGTCATTATCAGAAGAGATTATAGTTCAAAGATTCTAAGATACCATTTGTGGTTGTCTATAATTCTACTAGAAATTCCTTTCTTTGTCACAGGGAGACATCCATTAGACAAGGTAATTTATTAATATTTCTGCAGACATGCACCTCGAACATAACCTCTTTGAGTTTATTGTCTTGTAGAGTAGTAAGGGTAAGAGACACAGAGGAAGTGATTCTTTATAAACTTGGGAAATCTATGTGAAACAGATTTCTTTTCTGAAACATTCCCAAAGCTTTTACTGTCATAAATATCTTCATACCAAAGACTGTTGGTTTTTTTTAAAAACATCTTGTATTCCTTGTTTTCTGAAAACCGGCCTTGGGACATCTGATCTAAGAGTCATCTTTTAATACTCTTGTTTTAGTTCTTTTCTTAGAAAATAGCTTCAGGGAATCCATGAGGTGTGATCAGTGTAACTGTCAGAGATGGATGGATTAAAGGCCACTGGGAGCACTGTTTATTGCCTGTTATTGTAATATAGGTTGTAATAAGTTATGTGTTGTAAATCTATGCCTGTTATTGTGCACACAGCTCTTGCCCAGACCTCCGGTTCAGTATGGCACTGTGTGATCAGGAGAAAATTTTCAGACAACAGAGAAAAGAAAACATAAAGGAGAACATGAAGAAACTCCTGGGGCCAAAGAACAGTGCAGGCTTGTGTTCTACACGTGATGTGAGTTAAAAATGTTTAAAATGTTATTACAATGTAATAGTGATTTTGTTTGGATGCTTTCTCCCAATTTTCACCCAAAATTGAGCCTTATTTCTTCCACTTTTTAATTTAAGGTGTTTTATAAATGGAATTGTTATTTAGGAAGAGTATCACAATTACTACCCATATTTAGATATTGATCAGATGTCGTTTTTAAAAAGCATATACCTACTTGTGCAAAAACAAGACATCTATCACAGGCTTACAGATGACACTGAGGCAGTGTTGGTTCCTAAACAGTATTTTATTATGATGAACACAAATTCAGCATACTGGGGAAAGCCAACTCTTAAGTCCCCAAGTACCTCAGTCCAACTGACTGAGCATGGAGGTCACCAGAGCCAGCAGGAGCTGTGCTAACAACCAGAAGGCTCTACTGCCAACCCAGAGTGATGCTCAACCAAAGAAGCTTGCCCTGGTGCAGGGTGTCCCCCCAGCCAATCCACAAACAGATCCTTGATGTCCCAAGGAGTCCAAGAGGTCTGAGCTGTCCTCTGCAGTGAGAGGGCAAGATGGTGCTTCGAGGGCAGCAGGCCTAGAGGTTGACCAACTTGGTGACAGCCAGTGTGAGGTGCTCTAACCTCTGTGCTGAATCCTGGCTTTTTAAAGTCATTTTGGCCATCATCTGGGAGTTTCTGCTCCTCATTGATAAGCTATAGGGTGGCTGGAGCCTTACAGTCCTTGCAGCTGTGTGTCACAGCTGTTCCTTTTTGTACATCAAGCTTCAGGTTACATTAAAACAAGTTCTTTACAGCATATATTCCAACTTACAGCAAAACAAATTGTTTACAACTTATGTTCCTACTAGGGAGGAAAGAAATTTAAGCAGATAACACATTGACGTGGTAAGTTCTTTGGTAAGTTCTTTGAAGAATAGGGAAAAATGAATGGATGTAAGGACTTACAGTACAGTGACTTCCAGTAGTGATGATGGTGATGGGGTTCAGGACATGCCACCCCAAAATGTGGCACTTGGCATATGGAATATTTTAAGCTGAAGGAATCGGAGCAAATTCCAGAAGGGAGAAGGTTTCTCTGCTGACCTTTCTCTGCTGACACAGATGAAGGATAAGAGTAAAAAAAACTTAAAGGAGGCATCACAAGACTCACACAAGGAGGTGGGGAATAGAAGGGATTAACATAGCCATTAAATCAGGTTAGAAACTATCAGATGCTATGGGGAATGTCAGGAGCACAGACCTGAAGGTGAAGATATGGAGATTAAGAAACAAACCATCCACCCACAAAGATGAGCCCTTCTCTACTGAAAGAAGATGATGAAATCTAATACTCTCCCCACAGAGGGGTAACAGTCCTTCTGCCCACCTGTGCCTATGCAGATGTTTCTTTCCACCCACTCTCCCTCCTCAGGGCAGCACCTCCTGCCTGCTTGTGACCTGTACCATGCTGGGCTTCACTTCCCTCAGGCTCCTGTCCTCATTACACTGCTCCACCCGGCAGCCGGGCTAACTAGTGGACACAGAAGCACACCTTCTGCCCTGGGTTACCTAACCCTGCAGCTGAACTAACAAATGTCTCCCTGCTTTCTGAAACATTCTCTGTTCTTGCTACTAGCTTCTAGTTTTAGTCAACCTTTTGGTTTCCTTTGCTACATCATCTTCCTTTCAGCATCCTCAAAGATTAGGAGCTCCTCAAGACATGGTATCCCCCAGTGCCAGTCAGCCACTTAGAACCCCCCTTCTGAGTCTGAGACCTGAACATTTACCCAGCCTTGATTTCTTCTGTGTGCTCCTCACATTTCAAATGCTTGTCTATTCTGAACACAAATTCTCTTCTACTGTACTATCGTGCCTGCCCGCACACCCACCTTCTGCCTTTCTGTTCTCACTGTAGTCGGGGTGATCTTTTAAATGCAAACTTGATTGAACAAACTTAAGTTTAAAATCTTTCTTTTGCTTTTAGGACCTTTGATCCACATCATTTTCTCCAGTTTCTTTTTAGATAATTGTTAGTTCAGCTGCAGTTCATCCCCAATCCTCTACTCCTTCCTTCAACCCCCATGAGGTACTGCCCCTCCCCACTTCCTTCTACTCTCTACACAACCCCTATCCCATTTGGCACCTTTCCAAACATGTTGTTTTCCCAACAGAGTGCTTCTCCTGGGCCCTCCTCTCCCAGCCCCTCAGCATCTGCTTTTCAGTTACCTGCTCTCCTCCCAATCTTTAATCAGTACAGTAAGACCCTTTTGAGACTTTCCCCCTCAGCCCCTGCCCCCAAATTAAGTCTCTCTATTATATTCTCTGTGGCACCTTTAAGCATGTTCTTATTATTTACCATAATTGTCCTTAATTCTACAGCTATTTATTCAATGTCTGTTTCTCCATTAGAACACGGGTTTCAGGGAAACAGTACTGTATCTGGTTCACTTGCAGTCCTGCCCTAACCTGGCTCCCAGCCAGCACCAGCCAGATGCTTAGTGAGTCTAGTTGTGTGAGAAAGAATGCGGATTTTAGCATTGCATCCAGGGGGTGAGATAGCTCCAAAGAGAAGAACTCCGAATCTGGTGTCAGAAAGGAGATACAGGTCAAGTAGGTTGGGGTGAGAAGGTTCTTGTAAGGTTGCCTAAAGGAGCCTCCATAAGTGGTCTTAGAGAAGAGAAATTTATTGGGGCCAGTTGCCAGGTGGGACTCCCCGGGAGGAAGGACGGCATCAAGGGAGTGCAGGGAGAGAATTTATACCCAAGAGAAGTAGGGGAAGTGAATGCTGTAGCTTAAAACAGCCAAGGTGGGATATACAGGTGAGGAAGTCAAGGCCCAGGTGAACCTCAATCTGCACAAACAGGAATGTGGGTGGGGCCCTGTGGTCTGGACATCACCCTCCTCCTGAATGCTATCAGCAGGCCAAGGTGAGGGAGCCCTTTTGGCCCCCTGTGCTGGCCTAATTCCTTTTTGAATCGCTGAATTAGAAATATCTGAAACACATTGGTGCAGACCTTCACTTGGCCTTTTTCTTGGGTTTTCCTTTTTTAAAAGATTTATTTATTTATACATATAAGAACTGGGCCATGGGGGTGGGGGAGGTGAGAGGATTCACCAGAGACAGAGAGGGGAGCAGAACAGGTAGATCAACTGAAATACACTGCTGAGGGGAGCAATGGGCAAGACAGGAGAGGTCTGCCATGCCTTGTGGGTCATTTCCTGGGCTGGGGATCAAACTCATGCTGCAGTGGCTGTGGAGAGCTTTGTAGTGCTGTGCTTTAACCCCTTGTGCCACAAGGAAGGGCCCCAGGTTTTCCTTTTCAAAAGGAAAGATGCTTTGACAGCCTCTGGTACTCCTCTGGTGGAAAGGAGTCTTCCTGGGACAATGAAACATGGCCTAATGATCATAGGAATTGGCCTGCAGCACATAGGGAATGAGGTCACTATGCTTTTTCTCTGGGACAGCCTTCAAAAATATTAAAGTCATGTTTTTGGAAGTCATTCCTAGAATTAAAAGTTTTGATGTCTTGGTTTTGGCAAAAGACTTTCCTGTTAGTAGAAATAATCAGCTTAGAAGTATTCAGCACCTCCCATTCCCATAACACAAGAAATATTTCCCCAATTTCATGTCTTTCCTGGGCCAAATATCTCTTCAGCTCCCTTTTCCTGTTCTCCCTGCCAAGACCTTCACTTTCTATTCAGTGGTGGCTGAGGGGCCTTCTTAAGGCAGGAAGGAGGGACTGTGGTAGCTGTTTCTGTAGGAAGAAGAGAAGGAGGAGGATGGGGATTGGAAGGAAGAAAAGAGCAGTTCTACTCAAATTTCAGTGCAGAAACTGCCTGTTCTGCTCCCAGTTTTCAGCAAATAGGTAACATGGAGTTTAGGACCTTACATCCTCCATGTTCTATATGTTCACTTGAAGTAATTTCTTCAAACCATCTTGTTAATTGAAATAAAAATCTCCATGATAGTTAACCAAAGATTTTATTAGATAATGAATATGCGGTAGAATGAATTCTGGCAATATGAACTCAGATGAGTTGTTTTATTTTTGTATTAATTTGTAAAGTGGAGGCAATGTCTTTTACTAGGTTCAAAGGATGAGAAGAATGTTTTTAAAGCATCCTACAGGCACTGTGAAAGGTACAGGCAAGTTATTCAATAGAACAATGTCTACTCTAGATATACTTGAGTGTTACTATTCTGTTGCAAAGCACCCCAGGGCATAATTGTCAATTTGCCCTTAGCTCTTCTGTCTGGATAATAAATTAGTCAAATAGTTAAGGCTTCTAATAATACAATAGTTTTAAATGTTTTGTTGCTTTTAATCTCTTGGGTGGGAGTCCTTCTAAAATATGTCATTCTTGGCCCAGCTTGAGTTGATTTGAGAGATCTTGTGAGTGTTTACACAGCCATCAACTGCATTTCCTCCACCTTTTTTATGTTTGCTTGAAGTAATTTATTCAAACCATCTTGTTAATTAAAGTAAGTCTCCATGATAGTTACACAAAGACTGTATTAGATAATCAAAGTGGACAGTTTGAATAGATTTTCTTCTGTCAGAACTGCTCTAATAACCACAAGCTTAAGGTAAGTGTATATATATATGTATCTTGTTACATTGCAGCAAGTGTTGAAGGAGTAAAAAGAACTGTGAGTCACTGATGGTAGAAGTCTAATTATTCTTGACAGACGCATCTGGTTTTTGTCTGTAAATTTAGATCTTTTGATTTCCTAAGTTATCATGAAGAAATGTAAATTCCATCAGTGTGCAGAGCAGGGCAAAGGTTGGGGTTTAGACACTTTTTGACTTCTAAAAAATGTATTATGGAAATGCAAAGGCTCTATCCCTCCTGTTAAAATCTCCTTTAGTTCACCATTAGCAGAGGCTGAAAGGTTGGTTTACCCACAGACCTCAAATTCTAGTGACTTTCAAAGAACAGAACCTACTCTGACTTTAAAACTATGCAGATGTTTTTGCTCCCTTGCCTGCTAGGCCAGAAAGAGGGCTGCAAAACATCTGG